TTTTATATAAAGTAAATATACTTATTTCTTATACACTAAACTTTGCAAATTTCTCTACAAGAATACAAGTACTGAGAAAGTGAGGTTAGGAAACTTTTTTTTTTTTTTTTGTGATGTATTGGCATGAAACTACATATATTAAGCATTCTCATTGCTTTTAGAATTTCCTTATCTAGAAATGACAAACATAGTACTTCTTAAATTGGAATTTTAAAATTGGAGACTAGCTTTCCCATGACTGGAATGTAACCAAGGATCAACTCTGCAACTGCAGTTTTCAGAGTTTGGTTAACAGTAGTTAGTAAACGACATATCATCATCTTAACCACCTCCAAAATTCAGCAGTTAGAAACATTTTTTACTATGTTTTAACACATAACTATCACTTATTAATTTATTTTATAGATGACATTTTTTAAAAAGAATATTAAAAACTCTTGTAGTTCACCTTAGGAAATGCAGCATTTCTTTGATTCATTTAAACCTTGTCTAAAATGCTTTTCATTTATGTAAAATGTGATTTTTTTTAACTAAATAGATCTAACGTTGAAAAAACATTTCCCGCATATATTTAAGGGAAAGCAAGTCTGATTAACAGTGTGTTCTTTTAATATATTATGTATTTGAAACAGTAAATGACAGATGAGTATTTTATTTAACAAATATTATTGAACATACATTATATGCCATACGCTATTTTAAGTATTAAGATGCATTGTTGAATTAAACCAGATACTTGACTTTCATGGAATATATAATCTGAGAGGTGAAGACACATTCAACATAATAAGATTAAAAGAAAAATATTAAGGGTCATGGTAAGTTCTAGGGGTCTGGGTATTCCTAAGTTCTGTTATGGGGAATTTTTTACCCTCTCAGGGGAGCCAGAAAAGTGCCCTCAAAAATGACATGTTAGGACAGATCATGATAAACAGATGTTAAACTAATCTAGAAAGAGATCTTTCCTCCTCTTGAGGAAAGGGTAGATGTAAAAGCTTTGTGGTAATGTGAGCATGATGTGGACAAGGAACTAAAAGAATACCCTTATGTCCATGCTAAGATCAATTGGAAACTACTGAAGAGAGTTTCAAGTGTGACATATCTATGTTAATTAATTTTATTCTGACTACATTATGTATAAGTGACCGGAGAAGGGCAAGAATTGGTGTACAGTAACTCAGATAAGATTGCCAAGAGGCCAAATATGGAAAAAAACCAAAAAGGTGGTACAATTTGGAAGATCATTAGGAGATAAAATAAATAGGACTTAATTGTAGATTCTTTGTGCAGAGTTTGGGAAGGATACCTATAATGAACCTTAGGTTTATCATTAAAAGGGTTTCCTGGCTGGGCTCCATGGTACATGCCTATAATCCCAGCAGCTTGAAAGGCTAAGGCAGGAGGATCATGAGTTCAAAGCCATCCTCAGTAAAAGGGAGTAACTCAGTGAGACCCTGTCTCTAAATAAAATACAAAATAGGGCTAGGGATATGGCTCAGTGGTTGAGCGCCCCTGAGTTCAATCCCTGGTACCAAAAAAAAAAAAAAAAGCAGGGGAGATTTCTATCTCTGAAATAATGAAAGACCATGAACGGATCCAGTTAAGGATAAAGACATGGGCTTCATTGTGAATTTCAGCTGATTTGGGAATGCTCAAAAAAGAAGTGTCAAGCAAGCCAGTTGCACATTTGGGTTTGGAGCTAAATGGGGAGATTATATCTGAAGGTAAAAATTTTGGCATCACCTTTGTAGCAAATTAAACCAATATTCAGATGTAGAATCACATGTTAATGGCATGAAAAAAAAAAAGGAATTGGTCTAGAACTGTCCCTTGAAGTTATTAACATTTCATAGTTGGGTAGAACTGGTTAAGTCTTCAAAGAAGACCAAGGTGGTATGGCTAGACAGGAAGGAGGAAAACCAGAAGAGATTTCTGTCATGGAAACCAAGAGGAGAATATTCCAAAGAAGGAGGAAGTGGCCAAGAATATCAAATACTTTTGAGATTTCAAGAGAAATGGAGTCTAAAAAATCCCTGTTGGATTTTAGGATTTTTGCAAGTGTCCTAAACGGACTGAGGAGAATAAATATCATACTGAACTTGTGTGGCTTTCAGAAATGGAATTGGTGAGTTTGGACATTTCCTAGAAGCTTAACTCTACTAGCAATTAGAGAAAGGGTGGTCCTGGTGAACTAGGCACTGAGAAGTCTTTGTCTTATTAAAGGGGCAGTCCTTCAGTAGTTCTTTTTTGATGAAAATGATGCAGTCAACTTTAAAAAACAAAAACAAAAAAACATTAGAATACAAATCCACTGAGAGGAGAAGAATGGCAGTGCTAGAGTAGATCAATAATCCCTAGAATAAAGGTTCTAGGAGGACAGAAGAGGATAGTCTCCAGAAGTAGTTAAAAGTTTAACCTCACATATGTTTTGGGCTTATATTGTAACTTGACTAATAAAGGAGAGTGGTAATATAAGTAAGTGCTTATTCATAGTAATAGAAAGATGATGATTTCCAAATGATGTTTATTTTCTCTGAACTTGAAAGAGGAGAGCAAAGAGACCAGAGGTTTTAGGAGAGAGGTTTAAAACAGAAAATATTTAAAATAGTTTTATAGTGAACTGACCAGAAAAAAAAAATTCAATGAGATAAGTAGGAAAGATAAAGGTCAATTTGAGGTTAGTTATGATAAATTTGTGGTAGATAGAATGGTGCATGTGAGGTCATGAAGAACTCAGAATGTTGTTTTCATTCAAGATTTATTTGCCAGGGAAACAAAAGTTTAAGGTATTGGCAAATGTATGTAGATCATTTACCTAGATTGGATAATAAAGCAGAAAAATTAAAAAGGATTAATCATTGAAAAGAAAGTTTAAGGGTTTGTGAACCAGTGGTCCTAATAAATTCAAGATGGTTCTGGTAGGTGGAGTTGAACAAGCGAAGTAATAGCAAAAGTTCTGATCACATTGTGACCTGAATTAGTGATTCTAGAAGTGGCCATGGAAGTAGGTGGCTGAGGTGGAATAGATTAGGTCATGAGAAAAGGAAAGGTCAAAAAATGAGGATGTGATACTGATAGGAAAAATATCTGGTATGTTACCTGGAATAATGGCAAAACAGTATGGAAAGAAGTTGTGAGTTGGTTACAGTTATCTTCAAAGATAAGGAATGGGGCCAAAGGTGGGGTGATATTAATTGGAAGACTAAGAGAAGGTGTCATAGCTAGATTCAAGTGCCTTGAAAAAACAGGGTGATGTTGATCTTGTTATTTTTGTAAGAAGAATTTGAAGAGTTGAATATTTTAGACAGTCTTGCAAGGGGTAGAAAACAATATTTAAATATTATATTGCAAGGTTTCTGCCTAATGGGAACTTATAGTCTAGAAAAAAGACATCTGTCTGAGCAAATATTGACAGTACAGTGAGATGGATGATTTAATAACAGAACCTATAAAGTATACAAGGACTGTAGGGATGGGGACGTTATCGCTTAACTAAAGAAGTTATTAAAGGAATCACAGCAAAGACTATACTGGAATTGAATTTTATGTAGTTCTAAAATTAAAGAAGGGAAGACCATTTCAGGAGAAATTATAAGATGTGTGGATGTGTGACTCACTCTCTCTCTCTCTCTCTCTTTTTTTTTTTTTTTTTTTTTTGTATTAGGGGATTGAACCAGGGGCGCTTAACTGAACTGCATCCCCCTTTTCTTTTTTATTTTGAGACAGGGTCTTGCTAAGGATCTCACTAAGATGTTGAGGCTGCCTTTGAACTCCCAGTTTTCTTGCTGCTCAGCCTCCTGAGCTGCTGGGATTACAGGCATATGCCACCCCCCCTGGATAGATGTGACTCTTAAACTCAGTAATAACATGCTACTATACTGAATATTGTACTATTATAAAACGTTCCTCATGACTAGAATATTTCATGTCTTTGAACTATCATTCTGTTATCATTCTCTATTGGGATGACTTAAAGTATGTATCTCTATGTGTATGTATGTGCCTACTCAAAACATACCTTTGTGTTTAGGGGATTTCTTTTAGAATTATGCTTGAAATAATGTATTACTAAAGAATAAGAACAAAAGATACCTTCTAAATATTAAAATAAAATTATTTTCATGTTTGCTTTTGCTAATTCAAAGTTATTAAATCAGTTTCCTACCATTAATTTTTTTTATGTATTACATATTTAAAATTTATTTTTATTGGATCATTATAATTATACCCAGTAGTGGGATTCATTATGCCATATTTGTACATACACATAATTTGATCAGCCTTGTCCCCTGATAGTTTCCCTTTCCTTCTCCTATTTCCTCTCCCTGATCTGCTTAGTCTACTAATCTCCCTTCTATTTTTATTCTTATTATCATGATTTTAATTAGTGCATTATAATTATATCTATATAAATGGAATTCATGGCAATATTTTTATACATGGACAGTTCATAATTTAGTAGATTTCATTTCTCAGTATTATCCCGTGTAATTCTCCTCCCTCCTTCTTAATACCTTTACTCTTTTGGTCTTCCTTCTGCTTTTATGAGATCCCTTTTTTTTTGTTGTTCTTTCTTTTTATGAGAGAAAATACTCAACCCTTCACTTTCTAAGTCTGGCTTATTTCACATAGTGATTTTCTCTAGTTTTGCTTTAAACCACAAGAATATAAAGATCATTAATATGACAGTCTCTGATCTCAGAGAACTCATGATCTATTATGTTCCAAGCCCTAGAAGATATAAGTGTGATATTAAAATTGTAATTTCTGAGAATATTCTGCCTTCTTAAAAATTCATACTTTGTGTTCTCTTAAGCCCTCACACACATTTTTAGACTATTTATTCCTTCACTATTTATGGAAGAAATGTGAATTAATCAAACTTTGAATATAGTTAGATAAAAATTTGGTTAAAGTGGTGAAGTTTATAGTATTAAGATTTAAAGTATGTTTGTTCCAGATTAAGGGTCTTTTTAATTTTTTTACTTTATTTCTCAAAGGTTGTGAAGATGAGAAAAGAAGTGAAGAGAATCCGAGTTTTGGTTATCCGAAAACTTGTCAGGAGTGTTGGCAGACTGAAATCAAAAAAGTTAGTCATTTGAAATGATGATCTTATGCCTAATAAAATGTCAAAATTTGTTTTTATTTGATGTTTACAAACTTGAGGGTGAAACCTAGAGAAATAATTCAATATCTTACTCATTTATCACTGTTTTATTTGTAGAGATATGACTGAGATAGAATGTGTTGTGTCAGCATGTCCTTCTGTGGTTTGGACCATATTTGCTTAAGACATAGGATGAATTCTTCTGATTTTTTTTTAATTCTCCTTTTAGACATCAGAATGGAATTCTTTAGAGTTATTATGTGTTTTATGTTATTAGAAGTCATTTTAAGAAGTTGAAAAAGTTTTAAAAATCTAGAAATACTGTAAAGTAGTTATGAAGATTGTATATCACTTTTTTCTTGAATGTTAAGTAATTTGGAATCTTTTGTTCCTCTTGGAAGTATTTATTATCTTACCTGTTATACCATGTAATTTTTTTAAAAAAGAGACTATTTTGTATTTTCTATATCACTAATGTTACAAAGTATTTTATGGGCAAACATTAATGTAACACAAGGACAATGCTTCTTTTGCCTGTTTTAAATACTTTAGTTTATTTATAATATTCGGGTATATGTTGGGAGAAAGAAGAGGTAGTAGAATAGAAGATAGAGTGTTTGTCATTTAGAGATTTAATATGCTTTTCTTAAAGAAATTAAAATACTTTCCATTATGGTACATCATGAAAATTTATACTTCCTCTGGTTACAAGTTATATTTTTTGCAGGGGTACTGAAGATGCACTATTAAAAAACCAAAGACGGGCACAGCGATTACTCGAAGAAATCCATGCCATGAAGGTAAGGACTTGTGGGTATAGGTGTGTTTCTGTGTCTCCTATCAACCTACATTTTCTATATGTGTAATATTAATTTATTTTAATATTCCTCAGGGCTTATTTATATGGGTCTGTTTGTGAAGCATATAGAACATTTAGAAAATTATATGTTTAATCTTGTGTTTTCCATGTTTTTTTTTTTCTGAATTTTTAAAGTGCTAGATTAATATAAGTCAAAACTACCAGACTAAACTAATGTATGCTTAATAATGTCTCATGAGTGAGGGCTTAATTTTTAGTGTCACTTAAAGCACATAATCTAAATTGAGTTCTAGAATTAAAATGTTCATGGTCTGGGCTGGGGATGTGGCTCAAGTGGTAGCGCGCCCGCCTGGCATGCACGAGGCACTGGGTTCGATCCTCAACACCACATAAAAATAAAATAAAGATCTTGTGTCTACCTAAAAAAAAAAAAACTAAAAAATAAATATTAAAAAAAATTATAAAAAAATGTTCATGGTCTTTGGGAATGTGGATGGTGATATTGGTGGCTGACATCATGCCTTGCCTTTTGCCAACTCAATAAATTTTTTATGTGGTACTGTTAGCATTTAATTCAGTTCTGTAGTAACTTAAAATAAAATTACTGTTAGTCCAACATGATTCATTTTTTTTTTTTTCAGCCAGACTCTTCACCAGCATAATTTTTAGGTCTTCTTCATGCTCTTAATTTATAGAAACTTTCATTTCCCAAATGACATACCATTAAATGTCTGGGAGACTGTTTTATTGCAGAACTTAAAAAACAACATTTGGTACTAGCAATTATCTTAATTACAGGGTAATTTTGTATGTATGTTACTGTTATAATTTGGTATGACTTCCAAGTTTGAGTTAGATAAAAGCAAGAGAATTTTCTAACAGTATTTTAATTGAGCTAGATCATCAAAGCTTCTCACCCTTTCTTCCTTTTAAAAGGATGGTAAAGTGTTACGTAGGATAAAGTTATCCAGTTAATCTGAATTAAAACAGGTTTTGGAAGTACTTTTCAGTGTGAATGTGGTTATTTCTATTATTTACCCCTTATTCCCTATAGGAAATTCATGTAATTCATTTTATATATATTTTTTTCTTTCTCAAAGTAATAATCCCCTTTTATGTAGTCATTTGGGGGCAGGGGGATATTGTATTTGACTTCTAATTATTTGTTTTCACTTTGTGAATCATTCAGCCTTTTTTTTTTTTTTTTTTTTTTGGTACATCTTTTTTTTTTCCATAATACTCCTAAAACAAAAAAATATTTGGAGATTTTAACTTTGAGGATAGTGCTAAGATAGGATGTGATAAAGTAGCTCTGTCTTCCACTTTCTCTTAAACAAGGTGCTACTAAATTATATTGCCTACCTAAGTTTTTCCCTGTAGTATCTTTCATTTTGTAGTCCTAAATTACTCAGTTTTTAATCTACTATATGATTTTATTTTGTGGTGGAAAACAAACAATAAATATTATTAAGTTTATATGCAGAGTGTGAAGAGTTTGAGAACAAAAAGATTTCTCATTAATCATTAGAATACTTCCCTTTTATAACTCTCAATAATTAATTTGATTTAGTTCATTAGAAAGGAAAGTTGTCCTACTTGATCTTTATGTAAAGCTTGTTTTTTGTTATTCTTAAGTTTCATCAGCAGAGGAAAACACACCCATTGTTAAAAGTTCATTTATTTACAAGGCTTTTATGTCACTATCATAGGTTGTTTTTCTATTTTGCCCTCAGATGTAAGACCACTCTGAACTTGTTGACCCTGTAGAAAGCTAAATTCATAGCCAGTATGTTCTTTAAAGACATAAAATGTGTAGTATGTATACTCCATTAGCTTGTGGCAGGGGGTTGGGTGGTCTGGGTTGGCTAATCTAACTTTAGCTTATTTTGTAATGCTCTCTAAACACTGAATTAAATTTAAATATGAAAAGCAGAATAAAAGTAGCACCAGAAAGACTATAGGTTTGCTTTTCTTGTCAAATTTCATTATGAATGGTACATTTAGAAAATTGGTCTTTTCTAAAAGAAGCAAATACATTTAGAATTTTTCTTAATTGAAAGGCACTTCTTAATTTTCTAAGGAAGTATTTTTCTATGTGAATATCACAGAAATAGTCACAAAACATTAAATTCACAGTCTCTATTAAATTTGCCGGAAAACCTCTACTTACTCATTTTTCCAGAGAAATTTTTTTCTTGGCTCATACACGACTAGATTTTTATAGTCTTATTCATGACATACTGTCCTATACTTGCTTTCTATGATAACAGGGTATTTTGTTACAAGATGACATCCTCATGAAGAAAACCCAATATATTTTTAGAAATGGGAGTTTGTTTTTTCTAGCCAAGAAAAAAAATGAATGACCTGATCTTTATGATGCTATAAAATCATAGGTTCTAATTTTATAGACTATCATGTATGAATCCCAAGTCTTTGATGCCTAATATTATGCATACTTTTAACTTTATTACCAACATAAAAACTGACATCTGAAACAGTTTCTTTTTCTCTGGGAGCTAAAGTTAGCTTATCAACACTTACAAATCCCTAAGTTATTTAGTTGAAAAAGTAGATGATGAAATTAAGCCATAAAATGACATTTCAAACAGTGTAAGAAGTCACTTATTCAATAATAAAGGCAATAAGTAGCATTTACGAAGCTTTTATTATGTGTCTAACATGACATTGTGTTTTACATTCTCTGTCTCACGAGTTAGATATCATTATTATACTATTCTTACAGAAAAAGAATCCGAAGCTTAGAAAAAGTAACTCTCCCAGGGTCAAATGGGAGTTAACCACCTTACTGCATCAGTAAGATGGGAATTTCCTGAAAAATATCTACACTCACTCTCCTAAAGATTGGATGAGATAATTTAATGACATGATATGATACCTTCTTTAAAAAAAAAAAAAAAAAGGCCCAAAGATGTGACTTATGTTTCAGATCCTTTAATTCTTCATAACTAAGATTACACAGTTACCTTTATCTGTTTTTTTTTTTTTTTAAGATTCTGAGTCTGTTCCTTCTCCCTATGTTGAGAATTCTTGTACATTGAGAACTTGTGTATTCTTCTGTGAGACTGTTCTGCCTGCTGCCTAACGTCTCTATTTTAAAACTATTTTTCCCTTTGTTTTAATCTTATGCGCTCAGCTTGATTATTAAAACCACCTTTTATACTTCCATTAGCTTTTCAGATCAATCTACTTCATGCTTCTTTTTTGAGGGGGTGTAGTTAGTGGATCACAAATAAGAAAAATACCATAGGTTTTGATTGGTAGAAGTTTTATGTAAAATCATATATTATTTAGATTTTTCTGATATTTCAAGTTATGCATTTTTAAAAATCAGTGATCTTTTTCTTTTTGCTTTCTGTAATTTCACATACTCTGTTTTTGGTGTTTTTTCCCCCACACTGCTTAAAATGAAATTCTTCATAGGGTAAAAGATACATTTTTTTTTAAGTATTTTGTTAATTATATGTATCAATTACCATTTAGTTCACTTACACTACTAAAGTAATCATATTAAAAGTATCATTAATCTTGACTATATTTTGACAGTTTTGTCTTTTATTTGTTAGCCATTTCAAAGAATCCTGTTATTAAATCAGACTTGTTAGTAAAGTTGAATTCTAAATAAGATTTCTAAGAGTTTCAAGGATATAAACAATCAAAAGTTACAAGTGAAGCAAAGAGTGATTGGAGTTATGCATAGCTTGCTACCTGCTTCATGCTAAGTTTGGATTTCTCATCAGTCTGTCTACTTTCATTAACTTTCTAGTACCTTATTGCAGAGCTTTGTTTTTGTAAGCCCAGGTTTTATGGTTGTTTTCAGGATTGGGGGTAGGGGGCAATTAACCATATTATCTGTTAGTCTCTTGTTCTGACATAACAATTTAAAATTTTATATTTAGGAAGATGAAGTTGTTTAAGTAAAAGAAACTTAAGAAAGTGTAGCCAGAGAAGGACAAAGAACCCAAAAGGGTATGGTATTTAGAAAAACAGTGAAGAAACTTTCAGGAAGGGAGTGTTGAATTAGGTGTATTTTCAAAATTAATACTATCATTTTATTCAAAATATTTACTTATTATTAGATTGTGGTGATAAGTTTGTTAGGTAGAAGTTTCTGTATGGTCTGAGTTGCTTTACAGAACTGTGCTTACATAACTAAAGTGCTTTTTATTCTTGCTCATATGTTCTAAGTAGGTCAGGCATGCTTTTCTTCCTTTTAGCCCCCAAATCCTGTTTCTTATCTGTAAAACAATTTAATTAAACCTTAAGTTGTTTCCTGAGTCATGTTTTCTTCCTTCAGGTCTGTAACCTGAAAACTACACACAGTGGTCCAAATATGGAAGAGGTGTAGTATTTTTTTTTTTTTTTTTT